TGAGGGAGGCTTCCGGGACACTGCTGCTGCTGCTCTAGTGAGTGCTGGGTGGGCCGCTCCTTTCCTGCCAACTCCATCTGGCCTAGGGGCGGAGCCTGCACTCACCGCCACAGCTTAAGAGGCCTGAGGGAGGCTTCCGGGACACTGCTGCTGCTGCTGCTGCTCTAGTGAGTGCTGGGTGGGCCGCTCCCTTTCCTGCCAACTCCATCTGGCCTAGGGGCGGAGCCTGCACTCACCGCCACAGCTTAAGAGGCCTGAGGGAGGCTTCCGGGACACTGCTGCTGCTGCTGCTCTAGTGAGTGCTGGGTGGGCCGCTCCTTTTCCTGCCAACTCCATCTGGCCTAGGGGGCGGAGCCTGCACTCACCGCCACAGCTTCAGAGGCCTGAGGTAGGCTTCCGGGACACTGCTGCGGCTGCTGCTCTAGTGAGTGCTGGGTGGGCCGCTTCCTTTCCTGCCAACTCCATCTGGCCTAGGGGGCGGAGCCTGCACTCACCGCCACAGCTTAAGAGGCCTGAGGGAGGCTTCCGGGACACTGCTGCTGCTGCTGCTGCTCTAGTGAGTGCTGGGTGGGCCGCTCCTTTCCTGCCAACTCCATCTGGCCTAGGGGCGGAGCCTGCACTCACCGACCACAGCTTAAGAGGCCGGGGGAGGCTTCCGGGACACTGCTGCTGCTGCTCTAGTGAGTGCTGGGTGGGCCGCACCCTTTCCTGCCACCTCCATCTGGCCTAGGGGGCGGAGCCTGCACTCACCGGCACAGCTTAAGAGGCCTGAGAGAGGCTTCCGGGACACTGCTGCTGCTGCTCTAGTGAGTGCTGGGTGGGCCGCTCCCTTTCCTGCCACCTCCATCTGGCCTAGGGGGCGGAGCCTGCACTCACGGCCACAGCAAATCAAATATCTTTAATACTGTCAATGACCAGAAAGCAATTTATAAAATATGACATTAAGAGTAGTATTGTGCTACAAGTAACAGTAAAAATATGGCCAATTCACAGAATTGGTGCTTATATTTATGACCAGGTTTCGAGTTTTAAGTTTTTAAAATTCAATTCAGGAGTCGCTACTGTTTATTATCGTTCCTTCGATGTTTACAGTTTGAACTCCTTTGTAGACATCATTGCTCGTCTTATTCTTGTTGCAATGTAACAGTACTTTGCCACGGACCTGTTAATTTCGGGCTCTTTGTCAGCTAAGAGGTGTCTGATATAGGTGTCGTCTGTACTACGAGGTATTTTCCTCAGAATCGGTTCGATCAGCTCTTTTCTTGAGTCTCGATATAATGGGCAGTATAAGATGACATGCCCAATGGTTTCGATTTCATTGCTGTTACAGGGACATAATCTTTGTTCGATCGGTATTTTATTGTATCTTCCCTCTAGAAGAGCTGAAGGGAGAGCGTTAAAGCGGGCCCTGGAAAATGCCCATCGGTGTTTAGCGTTGTCTAGAACTTTGAGATAGTTTGCTAGATGGGGCCTTTGGGAATTGTATAGAAGTTTATAAGTTATCGGAAGTTGGTTAAAGTCATTTTGGGTTTCAATGTCCCTGAGTCTTTCTTTGATTATGTTCTTGGCCCTTCCCCTTTCTAAACTTAATAAATACTCTGGGGAGAGACCATATGTGGCCAGTTTTCTGAGAATGCCCTTCAACCAGCTAGATTGGAATTTGTCAAGAAGCATCAGGGAAAGTAGTCCAACCGGCGAGTTGTTAAGTCTTAGCCAAGTGCATAAGGTTCTTATCCATACTTTGGCTTTAATGCTGTATAAGCCCGCTTCCAGTCGTAGGGCGGCGTTTGGGACGCATTTAGGTGTTTGCAGGAGTGATCTAAGGAAACCTGATTGTATCTTCTCATATGGGTCTAGATTAGAGAGGGAGACGAGTGGTGCGCCGTATAGGATTTGTGCTGTTGGTTTTGCAACGAATAGTTTAATTGTAGCAGGAATGAAATTTCCTCCCGTTGTACGATGGAATCTTAGGATTGCTGTTGTACTTTTTTGTGCTGTAAAGGAGCTGTAGTTTATGTGGGCAGTCTTCTTCCTTGATGCTTGGAATATCACTCCTAGATATTTAAAGCATGTCACTTGTTCAATCTCCTGATTGTCTAAATTCCATCTGTATATTTTCCTTTTGTTAGAGAAAACCATGATTTTTGTTTTTGGTAGTTCACTGCTAGTTTCTCTTCTCTACAATATTGGGATAAGCTGTTAAGAGCTCTTTTGAGGCCCATCTGAGTCTGGGACAATATAACCGCATCGTCTGCATAGAGTAGGATAGGCAGTTTTGGTCTGCTAATTTTGGGGCGTGTGTATCCGCTCCTTGTAGGTGGTCTATTAGGGAGTTTATATAGATGTTGAACAAAAAGGGGGCCAAAATGCATCCTTGTTTAACTCCCTTTGTTGTTCTAATGAAATTAGAGAGTTGACCTTCTTGGCTGCATCTTATACGAAGTCGTGTGTTGTTGTACAGTTTGTATATTAGTAGCAGCAGACGTCGGTCTATGGATGATTTGTTGAGTTTGTCCCAGAGTCGAGTTCTTGGGATGGAGTCAAAGGCTGCTTTAAAATCTACAAATGCTGCGAATAGGTGGTGATTGTGGTGCGACGTGTATTTCTCAGCTAGGTGCTGTAAGATCAGGCAGTGATCCATTGTGGATCTCCCTTGTCTAAATCCTGCCTGTGCATCATCAAGAATCTTCGCTCTTTCTATCCATTCGCACAGTTTCTCGCTGAGGTGTTTAGCGTATAATTTACTTATTATATTCAGGAGGCTTATAGGTCTATAGTTGGAGGGATCGTCCCTCGAGCCTTTTTTGTAAATGGGAATAATGATGGAAGTCCCCCAGTCGTATGGGATCTGTGCAGTTCTATCTATATATGTGAACAGAGAGGCTAGCAAGGGGGCCCACCAGTTCGCATTGGTTTTAAATAGTTCCGCTGGTATACAGTCAATTCCGGGGCTTTCCCGTTCTTTAGTTGGTCAATCAGCAGATGGGTCTCTGTTAATGAGACTGCTGGCCATGGCTGTATCTGATCATCCGGTATGTCTAATGCATAGGACTCATCGCTAGATTCCTCGTAAAGATTATGGAAGTGCGTTTCCCAGGCTTTCATTGATATGCAGCAGGATAGTTGTGATAGGCCCCTATCCGGCTGTACAGCTACGATTCTCCAGAATAATGATGGGTTACTTGATTTGGAGGCCTCTATCAGTTGCTGCCATAATAACTTCATTGCGTATCTTTTCTTTTGTGTCAGAAGTTTTTTGTAACTTCTTTTGGCTTCAAGCATCTTTTGTCTGTTGTCCTCTGTTGGATTATCCTTATGGCAGATGAAGGAGTGGATCAATGATTTCTTGGAGGTTATACACTCATGATCGAACCACTCCCTGGAAGTTTTCCGACGGTGGGGAGACTTGGAATTCGGTTTTACAACAAACTCTTGAATTTTTTGTATAAGCATTTCATATGTTGTCATCATGTTCGGGCGCTCTCCTCTATTTCTAAGCACCCTTCCATAATTGCTTTTGAGAGACGGTAGCTCTCCTCAGTTTTATACCAGTTAGATATCCGCTCGCTCACTTGTCCGTTCCATCTGATTTTCTTGAGGCCTGTTCCGGGTGTTAGATCTGGTTGATATCTGTGTTGTGGTTTGGGCAGATCAAAGGGTAAATCACACACGAGGGATAAAGGTAGATGATCACTTTCAGCTCTTGCTGTAATGGTGAATTTTGATATCCTAGGGATCAGGTCCTGGGAAACAATGCAATAATCTATCGTTGACAGTTTGTGTCCTGACCAATATGTGTATTGACCAGGATAATCTCCTTGTATAGCCCCATTCAGTAAGTGTAGATTCTGTCTGTAGGCCATGTGTGCTAAATGTAGTCCTCCAATGTTGCATGTCTTATCGTAGGATGATCTTATCATTAGGGGTGGGATAGTTTCCATTTCTGGAGGCCATTGGTGAAAATGTGCATATAGGGCGTTGTCGTTAGGGCCCACTCTTGCGTTTAGGTCACCAGCTAGTAATATCATGGCTGACGGGTGTTGTCTCCTCCATTGCACCACGTGGGCTTCCACTTCTTTCCATAGTTGTTCTACTTGTGCCTGCCGACGACATGTAGGTAAGTATAAGTTTATGCATAGCAGTTTGCTTTGTCCGAAATCTAAAACTGCTGCTACAGACCATTCATCATTGGAGGGTAATTGGATAATATTAGCTTGTATCTGCGTTGAGAACAGTAAGGCTAAGCCTCCTTTGGGTCTGCCCCTCTTTGACTAGGTGTTGCTCTTTTAATACACGAGTGGTAATTATCCAGGTAGAGCTCGTCTATCGACCAGGTTTCCTGGATGAACAGGATGTCAAATTTAGTGAGGAAGTCCATTAGATTGGGATCTTTGCTTTTAGCTCCCCACCCTGCGATGTTCCACGTACAGGTGGTCAGCTTGTGATTTTTGGTTGTCAGACATCTCAAGGGACAATCAAGCTTAGGTTTATAGCCAATTTGGGATTTATCATTCATTATGTCCGTTTTGGGGTGTGTAGTGGGACATTTTGGCACGGTGTGAACTTGGACACATTTTAGTGTCCCGGAGGGGCGTTCTTTCCCCGTGACCTTATTTCAGTCCGTGTGAATGGTGTCTAGGGCTCCTAGGTTGTCCACAAAGATTGAACCGTTCTTGCCTGGTGGTACCGCTATTTCAGCTTGATGTGTTATTGTTTTCTTTGTTATAGGTGGTTCCGTAGGTCCGAGTTCCTCTGGCGATAGGAATAGCCTTAGTATCCACTCACTGTTGGATAGAGGTTTTGTGGTATAGGTTGCATAGTTAAATTCCCTGGTGACAGGTGTGGCTAGGAGTGTAATAGTTTTCCTTATGGAGGCTAATCTTTCAATTAGTGCGTCCTGAGCTTTATGTATTTGTTCAATAGTTGCTATGAAATGGTTTTCCTTCTCTATGTTGGAGCTTTCATCTGGTCCGTGAGTTGGGGATCTGGGGGTTGGTCTTTTAGCCAGGTGGGTTGGGGCTTTGTCTGCGTCTAGTTGGAAGCATCTTACAGTTCTCGTCCGTCATAGACATTGTCGGCTTTGTTTTTATCTTATCAGTCTTGATTGTTTCGATGAGAGGAGTGGGAGTACCGGACACTTCGAATAGGCGAGTCACCTGCAATCCAACCCTTTGTAGCTTGTCCTTATTGTCTGAAACTAGTTTGGTTGTGTGCCAGTCTCTGAATGTTACCACAACTCTGTTTAGGTCCTTGTCTGATGGCAGAAATTTAACATTAATGATGTTTTCTGCTGGGATGAACCCTCTAACGGCTAATTCAGTTTTCTTGAGAATATAAATTCTCTGTTGTGCTGGAGAAAGGAGATCTTTGTGCATGTATACAGGTAGAATGATGAGTTTTTGTTTGTTTAGAATTAGATTTCTGTGAGAGTATGTTGTTTTAGGAGTAGTTTCTTGCTTAGGGATCGGGTTTTCTCTTGATTTTCCCGCGGTTCCATTCGGGAGCGCTAGTTGCTCTGTTGAATTATGAAGCCTAGCCTTATGGAGTTCCTCTGTTGAATTGAAAAGCCTAGCCTTATGGAGGTTTTTATTTGGGCTTGGGCTTCGGCTTTTATCAAGGGGTGGCAGGACTGGGTTAGCTGGGTTCGTTGGATTTGAATTTTCTAAAAGCTTAAATAGTCTTGTGAGGTTCATTTTCTTTGTTCGAGATGGGAGCTTTGTCTTCCTTCCCATTTTTACGTTCTTGGGCTTCCTCTCTTTATTCTTGGGGCACTTCCCATTTAAGAGGGGTTTCTTAGGGGGAGCCTGCACTCCCCGCCACAGTTTAAGAGGCCTGAGGGAGGCTTCCGGGACACTGCTGCTGCTGCTGCTTTAGTGAGTGCTGGATGTGCCGCTCCCTTTCCTGCCAACTACATCTGGCCTAGGGGGGGGAGCCTGCACTCACCGCCACAGCTTAAGAGGCCTGAGGGAGGCTTCCGGGACACTGCTGCTGCTGCTGCTGCTGCTCTAGTGAGTGCTGGGTGGGCCGCTCCCTTTCCTCCCAACTCCATCTGGCCTAGGGGGCGGACCCTGCACTCAGCACCACAGCTTAAGAGGCCTGAGGGAGGCTTCTGTGACACTGCTGCTGCTGCTGCTGCTGCTCTAGTGAGTGCTGGGTGGGCCACTCCCTTTCCTGCGAACTCCATCTGGCCTAGTGGCCGGAGCCTGCACTCACCGCCACAGCTTAAGAGGCCTGAGGGAGGCTTCCGGGAAACTGCTGCTGCTGCTCTAGTGAGTGCTGGGTGGGCCGCTCCCTTTCCTGCCAACTCCATCAGGCCTGGTGGCGGAGCCTGCACTCACCGCCACAGCTTAAGAGGCCTGAGGGAGGCTTCCGGGACACTGCTGCTGCTCTAGTGAGTGCTGGGTGGGCCGCTCCCTTTCCTGCCAACTCCATCTGGCCTAGGGGCGGAGCCTGCACTCACCGCCACAGCTTAAGAAGCCTGAGGGAGACTTCCGGGACGTGGGGATCCAGGGCACAGTCCTTCAATGGCTGCGCTCGTTTCTCTCTGGTCGGGGACAGAGGGTGGCGCTTGGGGGGGCATTGTCATCCCGCCACTCCTTGGTGTGTGGAGTGCCTCAGGGTGCGATACTCTCCCCGATGCTTTTTAACATCTTTATGCGCCCCCTCGCCCAGCTTGTCCGGAGTTTTGGGCTGGGTTGCCATCAGTATGCCGATGACACCCAGCTCTATCTGTTGATGGATGGCCATCCTGACTCGGCCCCAGACACACTGACCAGATGTTTGGAAGCTGTGGCTGGATGGTTACGCGGAAGCCGGTTGAAGTTAAATCCTTCGAAGACAGAGGTCCTCTGGCTGGGACGGGATGATATGGGATTGGGGGGGCAACTCCCATCTCTTGCGGGGGTGCAATTAGTGCCAGCACCGTCCGTTAAGAGTTTGGGTGTAATCTTCGATACCTCCCCTTCTATGGAGGCGCAGATTACAGCTATAACAAAGGCGGCATTTTTCATCTCCGCCAAGCTAAGCAGTTGGCCCCTTATCTCTCTCGCCCTGACCTAGCCACTGTGATCCACGCGACGGTCACCTCCAGACTGGATTATTGTAACTCGCTCTACGTGGGGCTGCCCTTGAGACTGACCCAGAAACTCCAGCGGGTGCAGAATGCCGCGGCGAGACTCCTTATGGGGTCTTCGCTGCGAGATCACATTCATCCGGTACTATACCAGCTGCACTGGCTCCCGGTGGAGTACAGGATCAGGTTTAAGGTGCTGGTTTTAACCTTTAAAGCCCTATACGGCCTAGGACCCTCGTACCTACGGGACCGCCTCTCCTGGTATGCCCCACAGAGGAACCTACGGTCTGCAAATAAAAACATCCTGAAGGTCCCAGGCCTCAGAGAGGTTAGGCTGGCCTCAACTAGAGCCAGGGCTTTCTCGGCTGCGGCTCCAATCTGGTGGAACGCTCTGTCACAAGAGACTAGGGCCCTGCGGGACCTGACATCTTTCCGCAGGGCCTGCAAGACAGAGTTGTTCCACCAGGCCTTTGGTCAGGGCCCAGCCTGACTCCCACCTCCGGCAACCTGCACAGAACTTTGCTTAACGGTTGCCATTAATTTGATTTTAATTAATTTTATAATGAAATGTTTTAGAATGTTGATTATTTGATTGTTTGATTATGTGTTTGTTGTTAGCCGCCCTGAGCCTGGCTTTGGCTGGGGAGGGCGGGATATAAATAAAATTTATTATTATTATTATTATTCTGGGACACTGCTGCTGCTGCTGCTGCTCTAGTGAGTGCTAGGTGGGCCGCTCCCTTTCCTGCCAACTCCATCTGGCCTAGGGGCGGAGCCTGCACTCACCAACACAGTTTAAGAGGTCTGAGGGAGGCTTCCGGGACACTGCTGCTGCTGCTCTAGTGAGTGCTGGGTGGGCCGCTCCCTTTCCTGCCAACTCCATCTGGCCTAGGGGGGCGGAGCCTGCACTCACCGCCACAGCTTCAGAGGCCTGAGGGAGGCTTCCGGGACAATGCTGCTGCTACTGCTCTAGTGAGTGCTGAGTGGGCCGCTCCCTTTCCTGCCAACTCCATCTGGCCTAGGGGGGGAGCCTGCACTCACCGCCACAGCCTAAGAGGCGTGAGGAGGCTTCCGGGACACTGCTGCTGCTGCTGCTGCTGCTCTATGGAGTGCTGGGTGGGCCGCTCCTTTCCTGCCAACTCCATCTGGCCTAGGGGCGGAGCCTGCACTCACCGCCACAGCTTAAGAGGCCTGAGGGAGGCTTCCGGGACACTGCTGCTGCTGCTCTAATGAGTGCTGGGTGGGCCGCTCCCTTTCCTGCCAACTCCATCTGGCCTAGTGGCCGGAGCCTGCACTCACCGCCACAGCTTAAGAGGCCTGAGGGAGGCTTCTGGAACACTGCTGGTGCTGCTCTAGTGAGTGCTGGGTGGGCCGCTCCCTTTCCTGCCAACTCCATCTGGCCTAGTGGCCGGAGCCTGCACTCACCGCCACAGCTTAAGAGGCCTGAGAGAGGCTTCCGGGACACTGCTGCTGCTGCTCTAGTGAGTGCGGGGTGGGCCGCTCCCTTTCCTGCCAACTCCATCTGGCCTAGGGGGCGGAGCCTGCACTCACCGCCACAGCTTAAGAGGCCTGAGGGAGGCTTCCGGGACACTGCTGCTGCTGTTCTAGTGAGTGCTGGGTGGGCCGCTCCCTTTCCTGCCAACTCCATCTGGTCGAGTGGGCGGAGCCTGCACTCTGTGCCACAGCCTAAGAGGCCTGAGGGAGGCTTCTGGGACACTGCTTCTGCTGCTCTAGTGAGTGCTGGGTGGGCCGCTCCTTTCCTGCCAACTCCATCTGGCCTAGGGGCGGAGCCTGCACTCACCGCCACAGCTTAAGAGGCCTGAGGGAGGCTTCCGGGACACTGCTGCTGCTGCTGCTGCTTTAGTGAGTGCTGGGTGGGCCGCTCCTTTCCTGCCAACTCCATCTGGCCTAGGGGCGAAGCCTGCACTCACCGCCACAGCTTAAGAGGCCTGAGGGAGGCTTCCGGGACACTGCTGCTGCTGCTGCTGCTGCTCTAGTGGAGTGGTGGGTGGGCCGCTCCTTTCCTGCCAACTCCATCTGGCCTAGGGGCGGAGCCTGCACTCACCGCCACAGCTTAAGAGGCCTGAGGAGGCTTCCGGGACACTGCTGCTGCTGCTGCTCTAGTGAGTGCGGGTGGGCCGCTCCCTTTCCTGCCAACTCCATCTGGCCTAGGGGGGCGGAGCATGCAATGACTGCCACAGATTAGAGGCCGGAGGGAGGCTTCCGGGACACGTGCTGCTGCTGCTCTAGTGAGTGCTGGGTGGGCCGCTCCCTTTCCTGCCAACTCCATCTGGCCTAGGGGGCGGAGCCTGCACTCACCGCCACAGCTTAAGAGGCCTGAGGGAGGCTTCCGGGACACTGCTGCTGCTGCTGCTGTAGTGAGTGCTGGGTGGGCCGCTCCCTGTCCTGCCAACTCCATCTGGCCTAGGGGGCGGAGCCTGCACTCACCGCCACAGCTTAAGAGGCCTGAGGGAGGCTTCCGGGACACTGCTGCTGCTGCTGCTGCTGCTCTATGGAGTGCTGGGTGGGCCGCTCCCTTTCCTGCCAACTCCATCTGGCCTAGGGGGCGGAGCCTGCACTCCCCGCCACAGCTTAAGAGGCCGGAGGGAGGCTTCCGGTACACTGCTGCTGCTGCTGCTCTAATGAGTGCTGGGTGGGCCGCTCCCTTTCCTGCCAACTCCATCTGGCCTAGGGGGCGGAGCCTGCACTCACCGCCACAGCTTAAGAGGCCTGAGGGAGGCTTCCGGGACACTGCTGCTGCTGCTCTAGTGAGTGCTGGGTGGGCCGCTCCCTTCCTGCCAACTCCATCTGGCCTAGGGGCGGAGCCTGCACTCACCGCCACAGCTTAAGAGGCCTGAGGAGGCTTCCGGGACACTGCTGCTGCTGCTCTAGTGGAGTGCTGGGTGGGCCGCTCCTTTCCTGCCAACTCCATCTGGCCTAGGGGCGGAGCCTGCACTCACCGCCACAGCTTAAGAGGCCTGAGGGAGGCTTCCGGGACACTGCTGCTGCTGCTGCTCTAGTGAGTGCTGGGTGGGCCGCTCCTTTCCTGCCAACTCCATCTGGCCTAGGGGCGGAGCCTGCACTCACCGCCACAGCTTAAGAGGCCTGAGGGAGGCTTCCGGGACACTGCTGCTGCTGCTGCTGCTCTAGTGAGTGCTGGGTGGGCCGCTCCTTTCCTGCCAACTCCATCTGGCCTAGGGGCGGAGCCTGCACTCACCGCCACAGCTTAAGAGGCCTGAGGGAGGCTTCCGGGACACTGCTGCTGCTGCTGCTCTAGTGAGTGCTGGGTGGGCCGCTCCTTTCCTGCCAACTCCATCTGGCCTAGGGGCGGAGCCTGCACTCACCGCCACAGCTTAAGAGGCCTGAGGGAGGCTTCCGGGACACTGCTGCTGCTGCTGCTCTAGTGAGTGCTGGGCGGGCCGCTCCTTTCCTGCCAACTCCATCTGGCCTAGGTGCGGAGCCTGCACTCACCGCCACAGCTTAAGAGGCCTGAGGGAGGCTTCCGGGACACTGCTGCTGCTGCTGCTCTAGTGAGTGCTGGGTGGGCCGCTCCTTTCCTGACAACTCCATCTGGCCCTGGGGGCGGAGCCTGCACTCACCGCCACAGCTTAAGAGGCCTGAGGGAGGCTTCCGGGACACTGCTGCTGCTGCTCTAGTGAG